TGTGTTTGAGGCCCAGGAAGGTCCTGAAGATACAAACACATTTTGTAACAAGCAGCCATGACCCCCAGCACTGGTCTCTTGTGGACCACTCATACCTCATGTGCTATTCTTTAAGAATAGCTCACAGAGAGTGAAAAAGGCCCATGGAAAATGATGATATGTTTGTATCAAGTATCAGTGGAATGCTTCCAGAATGTAGTGCCACTCACAGGGAGCCTCAACTATGGCCACTTAGAGGGACTCCTTGGGGCAGGTGCAACTTTAAAGCAATTTCACAGACAATGCTCAATGGTTTCACTAAGGGCCTGGAAGAAGTCAGACGAGAGAGGAAAACAAACAAACAAACAAACAAAACTAAAACCCTGTGATCAGGCTTAGAGTTTGGTCAACATACTGTCAGGACACCTCCAGTGGCTGACAGCATGTTTGCATAGTTTTCCCTTGAGTGGACATGGGATCTGTGCCTTGCTTCTAAAGATAGCAAAACAATAGAAATATAAGGCTGAATATGCTATGCGGTATAAAGAATCCGGATAGTGGACTAAAGAGGAATTTCCCACTGGCTTAAAGAACCAGGAAGAATACAGGGACTTCAGACCTCTAACTGCAGAAAAGCAATTTTTGCCAACAGAGTGCATGAGCTTGGGACGAGTTTCTCCCTGAGTTAAATCTGCAGGGATAGGGCCCGGCGCGGTGGCGCAAGTGGTTAAAGGTCCTCGCCTTGCACGCCCGGGATCCCATATGGGCGCCGGTTCTAATCCCAGCAGCCCCGCTTCCCTTCCAGCTCCCTGCCTGTGGCCTGGAAAGCAGTCGAGGACGGCCCAAAGCTTTGGGAACCTGCACCCGCGTGGGAGACCCGGAAGAGGCTCCTGGCTTCGGATCGGCATAGCATCGGCCCGTTGCGCTCACTTGGGGAGTGAACCATCGGATGGAAGATCTTCCTCTCTGTCTCTCCTCTCTGTATATCTGCCTTTCCAATGAAAAAATAATAAAAATAAATCTTTAAAAAAAAAATCTGCAGGGATAAAAGCACAGCCCAAGACAACACCAGGCTGCTGCTTATGAAGTTCCTGCACAGAAGAGGCGCCATGCTGAGCTGGCTCAGGATTCTTGACCATTGAAACCACAATATAATGAATGTGTGTCTTGGAAATTCGTTAGGCAGCACAGAAAACTCGCACAAGCTGGACACAAACTCTGTAGACGTTTGGGTCTAATAGAGGTCTCAGAAGAGGCGCTGAATATCCAGGGGCAGGGTGACTACCTGGCAGAAATGGCAGTCATTTTTTGCCCTTGGCATCTCCACTGCTTGTGTAATAGGCTCCTAAACACAACAGTGGCAGGAATAAAGGCAACGGAAGTTAAACACAGGCTCAACCATGGGTTTCCTCTTACCAAACTCATCTAGCCTCTACTGTCTGCCACTGAGAGCTTAGCTATCTACAGAGTGTGAGTGATCCCCTGAGGAGACAGAATTCTGCCCATTGACAGATGGATTACACAGCTCCCCTTCATTTTGTAAGGGGCACTTAACATGTGTACCTAATATGGGGTTTCCTTTCCCACCCACAGGGCCATACTGCTATCTTAGAGTATTACTATTATTATTTTGGAAAGACAGATTTACAGAGAGGAGAGACAGAAAGATCTTCCAACTGCTGGTTCACTTCCCAAGTGGTCACAATGACTGGAACTGAGCTGATCAGAATCCAGAAGCCAGGAGTCCACTCCAGGTCTCCCATGCAGGTGCAGGGTCCCAAGGCTTTGGGCCACCATCCACTGCTTTCCCAGGCCACGAGCAGGGAGCTGGATGGGAAGTGGAACAGCTTGGACACAAACTTGTGCCCACATAGGATCCTGGCAGTTGCAAGGTGAAGATTTAGCCACTAGGCTGTCATACTGGGCTCCTAGCTTAGGGTTTTTTGCATGTGCATTTACCATCATGAGATCTCATATACTATTGTCTTGGATCAAAGCACTTGCCTTATAGAAAAGGAGAAGTGATAAAGAGGCATGTGAACATGGTACCCAGCAAATCTACCATGCACCACCTCATCTAGAAGTTGCTGATCTGGCAGAATACTGGAATTATTTCTTGAAGAAATAGAGCACTAACTTGGGAATGTGTGAAGAATCTACTTTAAAGCAAGTACATTCCTGTCTAGGAACACAGTTTGAGCCAAGGCTAAGAAGTAGGAGTGGCCTTTCTCATCATTGCTCTATGACTTAGCAATAGGGTGTGTGTTCTGTCCTCACAACTCAGACGCTGTAGGACTGGAGGTGCTGGCTTTGGCTGAGGGGAAGAGATGGTTCTATCAGGGGACCCAGGAAAGGATGCATTCACTAAACCTAACTACTGCTGCCTCCTGATCATTGCTGGCTCCACAACCCCCTGAATGCTCTGCATGGTAACTGGAGATAGGGTGGCTGCTGCCTGCCTTGGATGGGGACTGGATATCCTCAACTCAGGGTTTTTTAGAGACATCTCTTAATGCTTAATTGCAGCAGCCAAGGCCTGAGAAGCTCCTGGTAACCAGGGTAACAGGGGAACACAGCTTAGGGACCAGAGCCGCTTCTCCTCCTGGTCAAACAACTTGTACCAGGAAAGGGGTTAAGGGTAGGGAAATCTAGTCTGTGGGCAGTGCAGGATGGGGATGACAATCAACTACAGACGACAACTAGTCGCAGATTCTGCAGCTTGTCCCATTAATCTCCTTTTGGAAAGTCTTTCTCTTCTAAAAAGTGGGACTAGCCATTACCTCAAAGAACAAGAGATGGGATGGGAAGAATTTATGGGATAAAAAGAATGGCTAGAGTGGTCCAAAGGGTGGAATGTAGCAGTTGTTCTGCCCATATGCACTTGACATCTATTTTATTTTCTCACGTTGCATAACCAATCTGACTTCCAAACACCAGCCCAGTGGACTCTCCCTAAGGGCTCTCTCAGGTTGCCAGAGCCCACTCCATTTGAGCATAGCTGGCTTCAAGCAGAAATTCCCCAGCTGTTGGGATAGATGGGGTAGGCCAGCACCTCAGTATTCCCCAGCCCAGCCAGCCCACTTCCCTCCTGCTGTTCGCTGGAATTACCTCCCAGAGGAACTGCCTGCCTCTGCAGGATCTGCGTTGGGGTGAAATAAACTTATTAGGTTCTAATGGTACTGCCTCATTAATAACTGTCCCAGGGGCAGGTGTCCTGACATAGGCTAATCTTCTACCTGCCACAATGGCATCCCTCATAGGCACCGGTTCAAGTTCTGGCTGCCCCATCTCCCCTCCAATTTCCTGTTAATGTGTTTGGGAAGGCAGCGAATGGCCCAAGTGCTTGGGACCCTGCACCCATGCGGGAGACTTGGATGAAGCTCCAGGCTCAATGCTTCAGTGGTCCCTTGGGACCATCTGGGGAGTGAACCAGCAGATGGAAGATCTTCCTGTGTCTCCTTCTGTTTGTAATTCTGCCTTAAAAATGAAAAAAAAAAAACCCACAAAACAAAAACAAAACAAACAAACAACTTTCTTTTAAAAGCTTCTAAATAAAAAAAATGTTAACGCACATTCAGAAGAGTTGATTTCTGCCAGGGAACAGACACAGAGCTAAATACTTACTGTAGTTAGAAGATTCAAGTCAGTGCTAAATGTCAGAACTGACTGAGCTATCTTCCTTGCTTTTACCAGAAGTATTCAAATGTGCAAGGAAATTAACAAAGTCTCCCTCTTTTTAAAAAAATTTCTGCAATCTCTCAACTCCTAATTCCCAACCTAATTTCTACTATCACCTTACCTCTTGTGTTTGTGGAAAATCTCTCTCCTTTCTGAACACTTTCAGGGCACTGGCTGAGAGAAGGCTTTTGTTCTTAGCTCCCGGGAGACCGAGCACTTCTGCCCAGGCTAGGCAAGCTCAGCTTAAACACTCCCACAGGAGGTGGCCGAGGGATAAGGGGTAATTCCGCAAGAACGGGCCTGGGGTCCTGGCGGAGACGGGGCTGCGCGCCATGGAAGTGCGCGGGAACGGCGGGCAGACCCGGTGGGCCGACCCCGGGGTAGGGCTTCTCACCTGGCCGGGGGACGCTGGGGTCCGGGGTCCCCGGGCAGCGCGGCCTGCAGACGCTGCGGCAGCTGTTGGCGGTTGCCGGGAAACCGGGGGGCGGCGTGCACCCCACCCTGCGGGGCGGGGCCCGGGGAGGCGGGGCTGCATTTCCCGCCGCTCTCTGACCCCGCACAACCCTGCCCCGGGGTCCCAGGAGCGGTTCCAAGGAGGAAGCTGCGCCTCTTCACCCACGTACAAGAGGCTCATCAGAGGAGCCACAGGCGGTGGGCACCTGTGAACCTGCCGGCCGATGGCAGGGCCCTGGCGGCCGGACGCCCTCCCAGCCGACGCTCCTGGAGACCCTAACCAAGGCCGACCTTTCCACGACTTACACAGAGCTAGGTAACTGCAGGCCCAGCTGGGCAGCAAAGACGAAAACTTGCACTTTTACCTGTGTGTATGTGTGTTTTCACTTCTTGCACCTCACAGCCACTGCACACCAAGGAATTTTGTTGCATCTCTTAGGGATAAAGTAAGAAACAAAGAGAGGAAAACCACTTAGATAAGGTAAAGGACTAAAGACATTTTGCTTATATTCAAGAACATGAATATTTCCTGGAAATATTTCCCTGGGCGAAAGTAAGGGGGGATCAGACCAACTGAGGAATACCTGTATCCTGCAGTTTGGCGAACCCCCTACAAAAGAAAGATTTTACTTGCAAATCTTGCAAACATAGGGAGCAGAAAGCGGAGAAACTCCGCATCCAGTAACTTTTTTCTCCGCCCACAGTCTCCTTTGCCCTCAAAAAAGATGGCGCAACTGGCTTCCTCCCTCGGTAGTACGCAGGTTGCGAGGGCGTCTAAGCCGACGGTGCGTCTTCTAGCCCCGCCCCCGTGGCGATTGGGGCGGGGCTTGTGTGGAGGCGGGGCTCAGGAATCCGGAAACAACCTGCGCTTCAAGGCGGGTGTTCGTACCTCTGGTGCCCCGCTGTTGTGATTCCGGCTTGGATCTGGTGTCCAGGGTCTGAGGGGTCATCTCGCCCGGGGGCCCGAGGCAGTGGGCCGGCTGCCACACACTGAGCCGCGGCCTGGTGCCCTGTGGTGGGGCCCTCGTTTGCTCGGGCCATGCCCACCGCCGCCGCCCCCATCATCAGCTCGGTGCAGAAGCTGGTTCTGTATGAGACCAGAGCTGTGAGTACCTGGCGGCGGGGCGCGGGCAGGAGGATGGAGGTGTGGGGAGTCCTGGGCAGGGGCAGCCCGCGCAGCCCTGACCCCTGGCAGACGGCCTTGGAGGAAGCCGGGCGCCTGCGCCGTGCCAAGTGTTTGCAAGTACAAATATTTCCAGTTTGGACGCTTGACTGGGATGTGTGGGAAATAGGTGCTTCGGGCACCTCAGGAGCTGTTGATGAGGCTCCGTAGAAGCCACTGTGATCTTTGCAGGTTTCAGAGTCTGTTAAAGTTATGGAGTTCATTGTCTCACACATCACAGGCAAAAGTATGAAAAAGAACGTGAGCCGTGTTCTTATTCTGTAGTATGTCATTGCCGTCACTGATGTTAACCGCGTGTGCTTTTCTGAATTTGCTGCTTCTCCTTTTTCCGCTTGTGATGTAAAAGGGGGGAGGGGATATGTAAATGTGTTTCAAGATAGCTAGTTTTTTTTTTAATTTGAGCAATGATAGTAGCTTATTTTCAGTTTATTTTTTTTTCAAACTGTATGATTTTATTTAAGAAGTTTTATTACTTTAGAGGCTTTGTAAGTAGCAAGTAAGTGTGTTAGTTACTGGTTCTCTGATTTAGAGCAATCTCTGGATCCCTTAGTTGGGCAGGCATGTGTGGTGTACCCTCAAGGCTTTGGGCTGTCCGCCACTGCTTTCCCAGGCCACAAGCAGGGAGCCGAATGGGAAGTGGGGCAGCCAGGACATGAACCACTGCCCACGTGGGATCCCGGCACTTGCAAGGATTTAGCCACTGAGCCATCGAGCTGGGCCCTGTTTATTTGTTTTAGATGTGATACCCTCACACATGTAAGATGAAAGCAGGTTGTTTTCCCCTCGAGTTGCAGAGAGAGAGTTTCTATCTACTGCTCTACTCTGCAAAGTGCCCACAATGGGCAGGGGTGGACCAGGCGTCTGCCAGGAACTGAGAATTCAGTGCAGGTCTTCCCTGGTGGTGTCAGAGACCCAACTACCCAAGCAGCCACCTGCTGCTCCCCATGGTCTGCGTTAGCAGAAGCTGGAGTCAGGAAGTGGAACCAGCATTCAAGCTGAGAACATCTTCACTGCTAAGTGCCGGCCCCATTCCTATTTTACCCTGCTACAACCTCTTAGTGGTTGATGCTGTTATTGCTACAACTCCAAGTGCTAACATTAGTAATCAATGAAAGAACAAGTGAGACAGGGAGTTTAGGACCGTGCTATATAAAGTGCAGTTGGATGTACTACCAGCAGAGAGAGAGATGGTACCTGGATGGTGACGACTTGCATCGAGAAACAGATTAAATGATTGGAAACTTTGATAGCAGTTTGACAGTGCAGGCTTCTTTTTCTCATGAGTCAGATAATTTGGAAAATTGAGATTTTGGGTTTTTTTTTTTTTTTAGTTTTTTTAATTACAGAAATTCCAACATCTAACAGTAAATAGAATAAATAATTCAAGCATATAGAAAGTGAACAATTAATAAAATATCTGTAACTCTACTTCAAAATGAGCATTCTGTATTTGTGTCTGTAACTCCTTCTTCTCTACACTCTTTTTTCCAGTTCTTTTCTTGAGATGGTAGAATTTGGGCAGAACTGCACACTGTGTAGTTTACACCCTGTTGTGGTGTAAAACACATCTCTTGCTCTAGAAAGTTCCCTTGCATCTCATCTACCCAGCTGTCCTATTCTCTTCCTGGCAATGAATGTTCTTCATTTAAAAAAAAAATTTAGATTATACATGTTTGCTCAGGAGTTTGATGGTGATGGGCGTTGTGGCTCAGTGGGCTAACCCTCTGGTTGGAAGCTTGCATCCCCTTTCAGAATGCCTGGTTCAGACCTTGGTTTCTCCGTGCTTCTTACCTAGCTTCTTGCTAATGCGCCCAGGAGGTAGCAGATGAAAGCTCAGGTCCTTGGGTTACAGCTGTCCACATGGAAGGCCTGGTCAGAGTTGTTCCTGCAGGCAGCTGGGGAGGGAACTAGTGGAGGAGAGATTGATGTTGATCTTGCTTTCTCCCTGCTCTCTCTCTCTGTCACTCTACCTTCTAAATAAATAATTAAATGGCTAAATCTTTTTTCTTTTGTTTGAAGAACGTTTCATACAATAGAATTGTGTAGTATTTACTTTCTTGGGCCCAGCTTTTTTTTTTTCCCTCTTGGCAAAATGTCTTTGAGGTTAATCCTTTGTTTGTTTTTAGGTTTGTTTATGTATTTGAAAGAGTTACAGGGAGAGAGAGACTTCCATCCTCAGGTCACTCCCTAAATGGCCATGACGTCATGGCGTTCTGGAACTCCATCTGTGTCTTCCACATGGTGGCAGAGTTTGAAGCACTTGGGGGGCTGTCTTGCGCTGCTTTCTCAGGCGGGTTAGCAGGGTGCTGGATTGGACAGCAGCCCCAGTCCATGCTGTTGTATCAGCAGTTTGTTCCTTTCTATTATGATGAATTCCTTATATGCACAATTTGTTATCCTCTTTTCCAATTGATTTGCGTTATACCTGCACTTAGAACATTCTTGGGGAAATCCTTGTAAGTGGTTTTGATAGTCATAAAGTCTCTGTTTTTGAACTTTGGCAACCTCCTAAGCAGTTGTATAAAGTATCATTTTTGCCCCAGCTTGCTAGAGGCCAGCTCCAATCGAATTCGGACCTCAGGAAGGGTGTGTGGAGTTGGTGAGGAAAGATATGGACACTGTCATTGATGCCCTTTCGCAACAGCTCAAGAAGCTGTCGCCCTCTCCCCTTTTTTAATACTCAGACACATCACAAGCTTTTACACAAACAATGAATTGTTCTATTTTTACTTCAAGACTAAGGGGGCATGCACAGACATTTGGTCATTCTGTCTGTTCTTCAGGGCTAAGCAGGTGCCCTAAAGAGAATTCTGCAAAATACTGTACTAACATTCTTCAAAGCAAACCATTATTCATTCCTCAGTAGTAGCCGTGGAATGACAGCTAGGACTTCAAGGCCAAGGCACATGTGATTACTTACTAATCAGTAATACATTCCTACCACATTTCTATTTCTACAAGTTACCCATCATTTAATGGAAAAATATGTCACAAGGAAAAAACATAAAAATCCAAGACAAAAGTTTCAAATGTTAAATTCACCCTACAACTATAGACTCTACAACCCCATAAACAATCAATAATTAAAAGCATATTTCTTTAATAAAAGCATCCTTAATTCCTCTAGCTAAAAATTATAAAAGTGGCTAGAACAGTTACATTTTCTATGCTCCAAAGAAATTGCAAAGACAGGCTAGCCTTTGAGATCACAGTAACTATATTTATTGCCATAGCAGTTTCAGCTCTTACTCCCATCACTTGCATTAATATTTAGGATATTTATCAAGCCCTTTCCCAGAAGGTGTGCTACATGTCTGGGCCAGATTCTGAGGCAATGGTTAAGTACCTAATAAGGTGTCCAGAAATGGCATGGGCTTAATTGTGCTCCTGTGTGTAAATTGCCAAAGGCCTACTCACCAAGACATTATCAGCGACATTAACTCTCAGGCTCACATCGGTTGCAAAAACCATCTAACAAGGGCAAACAGCAATGCCTCAATAGATTACAGAATTCTTTTTTTTTTTTTTTTAAGATTTTTATTTGTTTTCATTGGAAAGTCAGATATACAGAGAGGAGGAGAGACAGTGAGAAAGATGATTCACTCCCCAAGTGAGTGCAAAGGCCAATGCTATGTCGATCCGAAGCTAGGATCCAGGAACTTCTTCCGGGTATCCCACACGGAAGCAGGGTCCCAAAGGCTTTGAGCCGTCCTTGACTGCTTTCCCAGGCCACAAGCAGGGAGCTGGATGGGAAGTGGAGCTACTGGGATTAGAACCAGTGCCTATATGGGATCCCGGCATGTTCAAGGGGAGGACTTTAGCCGCTAGGCCATGCCGCCGGGCCCAATTACAGAATTCTTAGTGGGGTGCTTGAGTGTCCATGCAAACAGGGGGTGAAACCGCATCAAGGTGGTCAGAGAGACATCCGCCAGGCCCTGCCAAACAGCTGGAAGTTCCCCTGGGCCCTGCCATACAGGGCAGCTGTTTTCTCCAGCATCGACCAGAAATGAATGTATGGACATGCTCATTGATCTATATCTGCCGGAGTCCAGCTCCAGCTGAGTTCGGAGCTCGAGAAGGGTGCGTGGAGTCGGCGATAAAGAAAGACACAGACACTGTCACTTGGTGCCTTCTTGCTCAGGAAGAAGCTGTCCTTCTTATTAGACACATCACAAGCCTCTGCACAAACGTTTGATTTTTTTATCTTTAACTTTAGAACTAAGACAGCATGCACAGATGTTCAATTAATTTTTACTTCATGGTCAACCAGGTGCTCTTAAAGATAATTCTGTAAGTTACTATAATCCGTTTCTTTAAAGCAAGCCGTTATTCATTCTTCAGAAGTAGCCATTAGGTGACAGCCAGAACTCCAAGGCCAAGGCACAGATGGTTACCTGCTAATCAGTGAAACATTCCTACTACATTTTATTTTCACAACTTATCACTTAATGGGAGAAATACATCAAAAGGGAAAAAACATAAAGATCTAAGACAAAAAGTTTCAAACATTAAATCCCCCTACAACTGCAGGCTCTACAACCTCATAAACAATCAAACAATAATCAAAAGTATATCTCTATGATGTTAATAGAATCACCCTATATTTCCTCTAGTTAAAAAATTATGAAAGCGGCTAAAACAGCTACATTTTCTATGCTCTAAAGAGTTGCAAGGACAGGCTAACCTTTAAGGTCACAGTAACTATACTTTTGCCATAGCAGTTTCAGCTCTTACTCCTATCACTTCCATTAGTTTGTAAAATTCTTGTTAAGCCGTTTCCCAGAAGGCATGCTATATGTCTGGGCCCGATTTCAGGGCAATGGGTAGGCACACAATAAGGTGTCCAGAAATGGCATGGGTTTAATTGTAGGTTTAATTGTACTCCTGTGCGCAGTTAAAGGCCCACTCACCAAGACATCAAT